GCTGTTACCCTGTTAGGAAAACCTAAAAACTTCTAAAATACAACATCTAAGATGGTTTATTTAAGTTGTACTTTGATGAAAACCAATTTGTAATTATTATTTTTGATTATAATTAGTCACTGGTTGTTTTTCATGCAGCCTGGACATGAAAACAGTCTCCTAGAAAATAGACGGTGAAACTTTCACCCATCTTAACTTGTGACGGGGACGGCTGTTGTTTTAGCATCCAAGAAGCAGCAGAGAACATTTAGCAGAAGCTAACGGTTAGCGTTAGCAAATCCACCACACAGCAGAACTCCAGGCTTGTGCTATTTGTTGAGATAAAATATCAATGTAGCAGAGCAAACAGTCAGTGGTAGAGTCGCGTTGCTGTTATCCAATCAGAGGAAAATTATCCAAATATCAGGAAATAAGACTCCAAATCCTGCTCAGCTCAACTCTGATCAAATTTCAGGACTGATTTTGACACCAGTATGAAATAATGTTAAGTGTTTTGTAGGTTACCATTCAGATCAGGTCCGTGTGGGGTGAACACGTTGTACAGGAGGATGTTGAGTGGAGCGATCACTAGTTTGCCATAGAACAGAGAGTCTACTGTCACCAAGGGGACCTGACAACCACAGAAGAAGAAAAAGTGGATCAATCTCCGTCTTGTTAACCAAGGATGTCAAAAGTGTGGCCTGTGGGCTGCTGGCAGCCCTCAGTGATTTTATCTGGCCCTTGAATGAAATAAATCATATTAAGTTAAACAGTTTATTTAACCCTCTCACTGTCCTATTGGATGACCCCGCCAGGAAAGTTGACTATTGAGCAGGATTGATGGTTTATGTGAAAATGGTGAAGTGGTGCTCACTCCTCACCCCTGCCTCAAGGGATAAACCATCAATCCTGCTCAATGGTCAACTTTCCTGGCGGGGTCACCCATGAAGACAGTGGGAGGGATAAACAATGAATTTGCGCCAATGAAAAAATCCACAGCTGATTCATGAGCATTTGTATGTTTTTGTTTTCCATGCATTCCTTAAATGATTCCCACCAGCAGAAGAAGAAGAGTAACAGCCGACCAGATGGTGAAACTTTTCCACTTCCTCTTAATCACCAGCAGGTCAAACGCAATTGGAATCCTGCAATCGATTACCACAATAAAAGATGTTTTAATAAAGCTGTGATAGTTTAAAACTCCACCTCTCTTCCCTTTTGTGGAATTGTCTGGGCTTGACGAAACCTGTGACACGGTCAAAATGGCGGTGGTGGCCACCTCCCATTTATCTTCAAAAATGTGTTATTGGAGTCTATGGAAACCCATTGTCCAATATTTATATGTCGATGGGAGCAACTTAAAAATGACCAGAGAAGATGCTTGTCTAATATTGCGTGGAAGCTGGTTCCAAAGTCCAGGCGCAGCAGCGGAAAAGGGTCTCCTCCCAGCTTCAGACTTGTTCTTGGAACCACCGACTGCTGCTGGTCAGCCGACCTCAACCGGCGAGTTGGCTCATACGCCACGAGCATGTCCGATAGATAGGAAGGAGCCAGTCCATTCAACGATTTGTACGCCAACACCAATATTTAAAACAAACTCTAAAAGCAACTGGAATCCAGTGCAGAGAAGGCAACACCAGGGATTACATGCTCATGCCTGCAAGTGCACGTTAGCAAATGAGCCGGAGCATTTTGGACTAACTAACATCTATTGATACAACCCTGACTCACCCAGACATATTACAGAAGTCAAGCCTTGAGGTGATGAACGCATGAATGAGTCTTCCAGATCACTTCTCACCAGAACCGACTTGACTCAGCCCAGCTTCCTTAGTTGGAAGAAGCAGGACTTCACCACACAGTTGATCTGTTTATCGAACTTCAGCTCTGCATCAACCTTCACACCTAAGTCAGTGGTGACCTTCATAGGAACAGGTGAAACAGGTCCAAAGGAGAAGGGGAGATGGTTGATGCCCCATTAGGTTTAAAGTAGATTAATTCCATTTTGCTCTCATTTATGCTCAAAAATTTTGCAGCCATCCACCCTTTGACCTCCTCAATAAACTGTAGAATGTTCGCCACCCTTTTTACTGATTCCTAACCATAACCTTAACTAAACCTTAATTCACACCATACCTCTAAAACCAACTAGTAAGTAAGGATGGGTGATATTGTTTGTGATATACCGTTGAAAATTCTCCTCACAATAAAATTTTGACTTCTCGCGATAATAATGATAGGTCCCATTGATGACGTAGTTTTGTGCCTGGTTCACGAGCAGAGTGAAAACAAGCACAGCGGAAGGCGGAGGCGACGCTGAGAAGGAGCTTGTTAAAAAGCGAGGAGCTACCTCAGCAATTTGGAACTTTTTTGGTTACCTAAAAGCAGATGAGGAGCAGACTACGGTGTTATGCAAAGTTTGCAGAAAAACTGTGGCTTCGAAGGATGGAAACACATCCAACTTGTTCCACCACCTCAAACACAAACACAAACCAGAGTATGAGGAAAGTCTCAAGATATGTGAGGCAAAGGAGGCATCAACTACGAGTGGACCAAGGCGGAGTAAGACAACCCCCACGCAGATGAAAATTACCAGCACTTTTGCTAATGCCGTCCCTTACGATAAGAAAAGTAAATGATGGAACGAACTGACGGACGCAGTGACGTTTTGTTAACGTTAAAGATATGTTGCCGTTCCAAGCGGTGGAAAAAGAAGGATTCAAGCGAATGATTCATAAACTGGACCCAAGATACAACATGCCCTTGCGGAAATACTTTTTCAAAACAGCCCTGCCAGCGTGATATGAAGAGTGCCGCGGTAAGATAAAAACATCGCTGTCTACAGTGGATTGTTATGCTTCAACTGCAGATATGTGGAGTAGCAGAGCGACTGAGCCGTACATCAGCCTTACGGTCCACTTCATTGCAAGTGACTGGAGTTTGAATAGTCGTTTTCTCCAGACAAGTTTCTTTCCAGAGGATCGCACTGGGGAAAACATTGCGAGTGGCTTGAAGCAGTTTCTTCAAGAATGGGATTTAAATGATGAGAACCAAGTGTGCCTAACAACAGACAGTGAGGCCAATATAGTAAAAGCAGTCTCTCTAAACAAGTGGACAAGATTTTCCTGCTTTGGCCATTGTCAACTAGGGATGCAACAATACCACTTTTTTCCAAACCGATACGATACCGATACTTGGATCTGAGTACTCGCCGATACCGATTACCAATACCGATACTTCTACCACACAAAAAATGCAATGATTTGGAATACAGATTTTATTTTGTCTTTCAACAGGAAATGGCTGTAAGGTGGATAAAAAGTAAAATATATGAATGGAAATCATCACAAAACTAAAATATTAGGTGAACAGAAATGACAAGTTACAATGAAGCCATTTTCAAGCAACTGCAATCGTATCGGTTCCTGGCATCGGTTAACTTTTACAGATACCTATACTGATATTGGTATGGGTATCGGTGCCGATACCGATACCAGTATCGTATCGGTGCATCCCTATTATCAACACATTGCTATCGGTAAGTTTATTCTATATTTAATGCATGCACACTGAGCAAACATGAGTTTAATATTAACTGTGTTTATGAATTGTATTCTGGATTAGTAATGTGACAAGGCGATAGGCAGTGTTTTGAACAGTAATTATTTCTTTTAGCTAATGTTTATAGTAGACATGAGCTAATGGAAATATATAATGCAATTTCCCTGAGCTTCTTTTTAGGAGGCTTGCTCATCTTGACTTACAAATTTCAATTCTAATAAACGGAGGATCAACAATTTCGGAGACAATATCAGGTTTTTATGTATAAAGTTCAGGCCAAGTCTCTAAAATGGAAGTGCCACTGCCAAACTATGCCATTTGACCTTTCTCATGTATAATGCTATGATTATCAGAGTAAATCTATTCAATAGTCAAATGCAACAGTTAACATTTTTTGCAAACTTGGAGAGTTTTTTTAATTGATAACCACATTTACTATTTCAAGAACCGTGTCTCAGCTGAATGTTGAATCCAAATCGACTACTGGTGTGAAGGCTTAAACAAATTAACCTTTTATATTAAATGCACATATAAACTTCATATTATATGCATTAAGACTGAATATTAAATGCAATTTTTAAACATTTTTTGTTACATCTATTTTAATTTAAACTAACCTTAACTTTTTTCTTAATCTTTCTGTTGTTTTGTTTGTTTCTTTGTTGTTTTATAGAGAGAAGCACGAGGGACACCAGGATTAACAAAGCTGTGGGAGTCTGTAAGAAGATCATGAGTGTTTTTTCGCACAGCTGGAAAAAGCAGCGAGCACTCAAAAATGCTCAAGAAGAACTTGGCCTTCCACCACACAAACTTGTGACTGAATCGCCAACACGATGGGGATCAAGGCAAAAGATGATCCAGCGAATCCTTACGCAAGAAAAAGCCATTTCGCAAATCCTGGCCGCTGACAGGTCAACCAGGCATCTGGTGCCTACTTGGCAGGATATTGACATTTTAGATTCTGTCAGCAAAGCCCTTGGGCCTCTTCTTGAACTTACAGATGCCCCTTCTTCTGAAAACGTTGTCACGGTGTGTTTTGTTAAAAAAAAAATTTAAAAAAAAAATCTAAAAAATAAAAATAAAAAATAAAATAATATATATGCTTTTAAAGTCTAATAAAATAAGATAAATGGGGAAGTAATGTTTGCTTAAATGTAAATTAGTTGGAAACAATTATGGTGGAACTTGGTTTGGCAGTGGTAGGATCAGGACTATAAAAGGTGATGCACCAGCCGACGCCCAGTTTTAGTAATCAGACAATCACAGGTACCAAACCTTGGTCCATGTGAAGCACTTTTGCTTATGTGGCAAGCCTGTGTGGAGCTGGCAGAGTCTTGATTCAAGCAGCAGGAAGGCAGCTGGTTTTTACCTGCACAAGACCAACCACAATCCTAAGCCTTCTACAAAACAACAAAATAAAATGAAGACGACAAGGAATACTTGTGTGGTCCTTGAGTAAAGCCCAGTCATATAAAACTGCAAAGACTCTGCCATCCCTTTCAAGCGGGGATTCTACACAAGTTAAGGCAAGACTTGACAGTAAAAACCAGCAGTAAAAACCAGTATAAAACCGGAGTAAACTCCACTTTGTAACTGGTGGGGAAAACTCACTGAAGATTCAGCATCAAGATGGATAGAAAACCAGCCAAAAAGTCTGTTAAACAACTAAAAGCGGAAAGGACATCAGCAAAAAGATCCTTCACCCGTCTAGCTAACAACATAACCAGACAGCTTCAGGACATGTCCGAGAAAGAGCTTGAGGAGAATTTTAATAAAATTTCCCTAGAAGCTGAAAAAGTTATGACTGCAAACGACGAGGTTGGTGCTGGACTTCTTGCAGAAACAGAAGATGGACTGGATGAAGATGAACCTGAATTGACCTCTGATCAACAAGCAGACCTAGATGAAGCGACAAAAGACTGTGAGGAAAGACTGAAGCAGGTCAAAACATCCATCCAAGAAACTTTGTGGAGGATGTATGGAAAAGCTGAACTAGGAACTGAAATCCAAGTAGCAGAGGACCAAAGTACATATGCTACCACCATAAAGCCCGAGGCGGGGAAGGCTGCAAATGATTTCATCCTCAGTCACTTACAAATGCTTTTGAAATCTGCAAAGGAAGCATATTCTCGATGGAGAAGATGGATCCCTCGTGATGTTCAAGAGGAGCTTCAGATACGATTAAGAGACCTGGACCTCATACTCCCAAAATTGGTTTCACGAACTGCAGAATTTATTCAAATGGAATCAAAGGATGATGAAGGAAAAGATGGTCAAATGATGAATTTTCCAAATCAACCTCTGCTAATCATCAGATTAAAACCAACGTCTCTCCCCAAGTTCACAGGAAATAAACGTGACTTCTGTCGATGGAGGAAGGACTGGGAGGCACTGCAAAAACAAGGAGAACCAACAGGTTCAAAAGAAGTAAAGAAAGCACAACTACTTGATAGCATTAGTGAAAAACTGTCTAAGGACCTGCGTCTCAATTCCTACAATACATCTGATGATATTTTCCGTGTCCTTGAGAACCGGTTTGGGAACCGGACAGCCATCATCATTGAAATAGTTGAGGAGCTACAGAGAATCCCCACAGTGAGAGGTCACCAACCAAGACGCATCGTTGAGTTGATCCAGGCTGTAGAGAAGGCACTTGAAGATCTGAGTGACCTTGGGGACACTGGAGCAATAAAAAACCCTCTTGTGACCAAATCAATAGAAACAAAACTTGTGGAAAGTTTGAAAAAGGAATGGCTTGTTTATGCAGCTGACAAAAAGAACTCTGTAGCATCGGCAAATCCATTCGACAATCTGTTGGCATTTCTGAAAAAACAAGAGGACATCTATGAGCAACTAGAACAACTCGAACAATTAAAGGAAGAGGAGCCAAGTAGAAAAGGAGTCAGGTCAGAACCAAGACTTGCCAGGACAAAGTCAGCTGCATCGGAAGGCGACTCCGTTGGTTGCGTTGTTTGTGGAGATCCAAAACATAAACGAAGACTTTACTTCCGTAAGAAATTCCAAACACTAACGCTAGCGCAGAAGAAGGATGCTTTGAGGAAAACTGGAGCATGCATGAAATGTATGGAGGTTCATGACAAAAGACAGTACTGCAAACCAACCTACTTGTGCCGAAATCAAAGCTGTAAAGGTGAAGAAAATCCTGATCACCATTATTATCTGTGTCCACATGCTGAAAGGAGTAATTCAACTCAAAGAAAAAACAGATTTGTAGCAGAAGAAAGTGATTCCATGAGAAAGTATGCTGAAGACCAGGAAGAATTTCTCAGGAGGCTTTCACCTGAATTAGCAGAACACTGTAAAAATGTGTTTACTAATGCTGTTACTAAAACTTGTGGAATTCAGAAGGCTAAAAAAGACCAGTCTAATCTCTTAATGGGAAGTGGACTTGAAGAGGCACCAGTGCTCATGATGATTCTGGAAGTGACCGCAAATGATGGGCAAAGGATTGGAATGCTGATTGATTTAGCCTCTGATACCAATTATATCACCCATAAAGCGGCAAGAAAATTAAACCTCTGCAGTGAGGAAATTGCACTTGTGGTGCACGGAGTGGGCGGCATGAAAATCCATGTTAAGACTAGATGCTACCTCCTCAAAATTCGTGTAATGACCCAGAGAGGAGTAATAAAGTCACACCAATTGGTTTGTTATGGACTTGATGACATTGCAACCATTCACAAACATGTTACAGCAGAGCAACTCCAACAAATCTTCCCAGATGTATCTTTGGAGGAATTAAATCGACCAAATGAAATTAACTTGCTCATCAGCCACAGGGAAGGGAAGTTGGCCCCTCAAAGGAAAAGAGTTGTGGGGGACCTTGTTTTGTGGGATGGACCCTTGGGCAAGGCGGTCGGCGGGACCCATCCAGAACTTTTTGAGGGGATAACCATGACTGCTTGTTACGGAATGGACATATTGTTGTTGTTTAAGAAGTGCTACTGCCACCTAGTGGTAACTAAGCAGAATGTTCCCTTTTTTTGTAGAGGAAGTGGTCTACAGGAAGTAGTGTGTTCTTTTAGCTGCTGAAGTGACAGGATTTGTAATCTGATGACAATCTTTGCAATCCTGGTGTTAAAGTCCACAATATCGGCTTCATCCGTAAGTTCCTATACATTTAATATGTATTAGTAAGTTCTGACACAGTTTGAGTTAAATCATATGGAGGCAGGTAGATGCTTATATTTTTTTAGCAGATGCCTCATCTGTGGTCGTGTTTTTTACTAGAGCAATGTTGTTCTTCAAGTGTAATGGAACATGTCTTCATTGTGTATTTTGTATTCTTTTCTTTGTACAGTTTTACAGAAAAAGAGAGAATTTATTTTCATCATTAAATCCTGCCAAACACAACAAGCGGCCTGTTTCTTGGAGGAGGAAGTGCTGGGAATAAAGGAATGTTAAGCTAGCTGTATAACTGAAATTGCGTTGCCTGCAACAAACTTTAGTGAGGACAGCATACTGCTCATATGACAAAGACACACTTCGCAAGGTCAATGAGGACAGCCGCTATCAAGTACCAGGAACTCGGCCAGAAAACACCACAAAAACACCCTTTAAATGAGTGGAACCCTAATCAAGTTAAGATGTCAACAACGGCTACAACAAGTCAAGACTTCTTAAAATGGTGACATTGGGACAGCATTGGTGCTGCTTGTGTACCAAAGTGTGGCAGCTGCCGGTGTGGTGGTTGTCATCCGGGTGGTAAAGAGATGACCCTTGCTGAGGAACGAGAGCTGGAAACCGTGAAAGAAGGTCTGACCTACGTTAAAGGAGACCACCACACAGATGAACCCCATTGGCATGCTAGCTACCCCTGGGTGCGTGATCCAGCATCCTTACCTGGAAACAGGAAAGCAGTTGAAGCCACATTCCTCCAAACAGAGAAACAATTGAGCAAAGAGCCTGGGTGGAAAACTGCCTACACTGAGCAAGTCTATGATATGCTTGATCGGAGAGCTGCAATCAAGCTTACCCAGGAAGAAATCACTGGGTGGGAGGGTCCAGTATGGTACATCAGCCATCTCATCGCCCCAACCCCACATTCAGTGACGACTCCCATCCGACTGGTCTGGAACAGCAGTCAGAAGTTCCAAGGGGTAAGCATGAATGACTTGTTGATGAAAGGTCCCGATGTCTTAAATCAAATCCGTGCTGTCCTTTTGAGGTTCAGAGAAGGAACTTATGCTGCACTTGGAGATATAAGAAAAATGTACAACTCCGTCTGGCTAGAAGAGAAAGAGCTACATCTACATAGGTTTCTATGGCGTGACTCAGAGAATGAGGAGATTGGAGACTATGCAATTACAAGAGTCAACATTGGTGATAAGCCAGCAGGATGCATAGCGCAGTTGGCAATGAGGGAAACTGCCAACTTACCCCCTTTCTCTCACCTTCAGGAGGAACGGAAAGTCCTTCAGTTCAGCAGTTATGTTGATGACATTTTTGTGTCCCATAATAACCCAGTTCGATTGAGGGAAATCACAGCTAATGTGAAAATGATCCTGAAAGCTGGAGGGTTTGAACTGAAGCCCTGGGTATATTCCGGTCAAAGTGGGAGGAGTGAGTACACTGGCAAGCAAGTCAAGTCAGAGGTGAGAACTATAATCCTCCCAAACCAAATGAAAGAGGAAGAAAACAAAGCACTTGGGCTGGGATATATTGCAGAAGATGACAATCTTCATGTGATGGTCAGCATCAATTTTTCAAAAAGAAAGAAAAAATTGAGATTGGGGAAAAATCTTACTCAAAGTGAAATCAGAGATCAGACGCCAAACCCACTGACACGGCGGGAGCTTCTCAGCCAAATATCAGGCCTGTATGACCCAATCGGCTTGGTAGCGCCCGCAAAGCAGAACGGAGCGATTCTGGTGCGGAGAGCATTCCAGGAGGCAAGACTCACCAGTAATCAGGTTAAAGATACCTGGGATTTAGCACTCTCTGATAATCTCAGAGAGGATGCAATTAGGCTGTTTGAAGAATATACTCAGCTCAATAAGATTCAGTATGACAGAGCTTTAACCCCCTTGCATTTCAGCGGTGATCCAACAGCCATAACCTTCTCGGATGGTAGCGAGCATGCCTATGGAGCTGTTCTGTACTTGAGGTGGGAGTCAGATCGGAGCCCAATCATAAAGCTGGTGGAGTTAAAAGCCAAGCTGACCCCTTTGGACCAAAAAGGTGATGCTGTCAAGGCGGAGGTTTGTGGTGCAGTATTCGCGTCCCGCCTTAAAAAGTACTTTGAGCTGCACAGTCAAATTAAAATTCATCAATGGTATCATCTGATCGATAGCCAAACAGTCCTTGGAGCTACACAGCGAGAAAGCTATGGTTTTCAAGGCGGTCGGCGGGACCCATCCAGAACTTTTTGAGGGGATAACCATGACTGCTTGTTATGGAATGGACATATTGTTGTTGTTTAAGAAGTGCTACTGCCACCTAGTGGTAACTAAGCAGAATGTTCCCTTTTTTTGTAGAGGAAGTGGTCTACAGGAAGTAGTGTGTTCTTTTAGCTGCTGAAGTGACAGCATTTGTAATCTGATGACAATCTTTGCAATCCTGGTGTTAAAGTCCACAATATCGGCTTCATCCGTAAGTTCCTATACATTTAATATGTATTAGTAAGTTTTGACACTGTTTGAGTTAAATCATATGGAGGCAGGTAGATGCTTATATTTTTTTAGCAGATGCCTCATCTGTGGTCGTGTGTTTTTTACTAGAGCAATGTTGTTCTTCAAGTGTAATGGAACATGTCTTCATTGTGTATTTTGTATTCTTTTCTTTGCACAGTTTTACAGAAAAAGAGAGAGAATTTATTTTCATCATTAAATCCTGCCAAACACAACAAGCGGCCTGTTTCTTGGAGGAGGAAGTGCTGGGAATAAAGGAATGTTAAGCTAGCTGTATAACTGAAATTGCGTTGCCTGCAACAAACTTTAGTGAGGACAGCATAGTAAAAGGATGACCACGCAACGTGGAAGTTAAGAGTGAAGGATTGTTAGTCTGCATCACACTATGGAGGTCACAAGCGCCTCAGCACAAGCCTTAAATGAAGATAGAGCTGAAGGCTCACGAGATGAAGTTGAATCGGGGTCTATTTATTCACGCCACAGCTCAAAGAGGTTACGCTCTTCACGCTCGACAACAAGCTCCAGAGTAAGCTATGAAGCAGCCAGGGTGCGAGCCAAAGCAGAGGCGGCAAAACCAGACTAGCATTCACGGAAAAGGAAGGCGAACTGAGAGTCGAAAAAGCCAGACTAGAAGCCAAGATAGATTATATTAATCTGCAGAAAGAAGCTGAGGCGGCCCAAGCGGAAGCTGAGGTGTTGGAGGCAGCTGCAGGAGATGTGAGTGAACCCAACAACAAAGAATTTGACTTTCTGCCTTTGCCAGAGAGTGCATTGAAAAGGACTGATCACTATGTTACACAGCACACACAAGAACAGTTCCCACAAGAACCCAAAGTAGAGAATGATTCGACTTTGCCGCCAACATCCACTCCATTTCCAAGCTACAATCAGAAGGCACAGCCCCAGCTCATCGACAACGGAGCCAGCTTCCCTCAAAATAATGCTCAGCCACTCCATATGAACTTTCCACAGCAAGAAGATGAGCACTTCCAACACAAGGTACTGCCCGACAATCGACCACATCTAAACAGCTCCCACAATAATGACTCATCTATAGATCTTGCCAGGTTCCTTGCTAAATCCCAGCTGGTTTCTTCAGGCCTAACAAAGTTTGATGACTTACCCGATCACTATAAGGCCTGGAGAGAAACGTTCATCAACACGATCGAAAGTCTGAGTCTATCAGCAAGTGAAGAAATGGATCTGCTTATAAAATGGCTGGGTAAAGAATCTGGTGAGCATGCAATCAGAATACGGTCTGTGAATATTAGACAGCCTAATGTGGGACTCAGAATGATCTGGGAAAGACTAAATAAAAAATATGGTGCTCCAGAGGTGATAGAAAGAGCTCTGTTTGGTAAACTTGAGAGTATTCCCAAGATCCACAACAGAGAGAGTCAAAAACTGCAAGAACTAGCTGATTTGCTCACTGAACTTGATGTTGCTAAAAGAGAGGGTTACCTACCAGGTCTAGCCTATCTTGATACATCAAGAGGCGTGCAGCCAATTGTGGAAAAGCTCCCTTTATATCTCCAAGACAAGTGGCTGTCACACGGGTGCAAATACAAAAGAGATCATCATGTTGCCTTTCCTCCTTTCTGCTACTTCAAAGAATTCATCTGCAGAGAGGCTGAAGAGAGAAATGATCCCAGTTTTAACTAGCCAGATCTTTTCACACATTCTTACAGAAAAGAAAGGGCAAATCAGGTGAGACCTGTCGCCGTGCACAAGACAAACATATCTTTGGCTCCTGAACCCAAAATAGGAAATCCCGAGAAGCTATGCCCCATGCACCACAAGCCTCATTCTCTTCAGAGATGCAGAGGGTTTCGAAAACTGCTCCTGGAAGAGAGGAAAAGGTTCTTAAAAGGAAACAACATATGTTTTCGCTGCTGCGCCTCTACAACTCATCAAGCCAAATCCTGTGAGTCCACCATAAAATGCGAAGAATGTGACAGCGATAAACACATTTCTGCTCTGCACCCTGGCCCAGTTTCACGCTCAGATGCAGTTCCTACCATAGGCGTCATTTTAACCGGGGACGCCGGGGACATGTCCCCGGCAAAATTCGTGATTGGCAGCTGTGTCCCCCCCCACTTTCAAAAAAGCCTGCTGATGAGGATTTTTGTTTTACCAGCTCAGATCTTATACCAGGGGTCGGCAACCTGTTCCCATCAAAGAGACATTATTACCCGTTTCCCACAGTAAAGAAAACACAGCAGCAGCCACATCGTTGTGGGCGGGGCCTACCCTCAGACAGCAGAGCGCTGCTCACAACAGGTGACAGCAGCCGGGGGCGTCGCACCCGTGGGGGATTCAACACCCAATTTTTCCAGCTGTTTTGCTCACCTCCACACCAGTCTGGTTTCTTTACGTCGCACTCACTCTGTTTGCCTCGTCTCCTTCTTCACCTCCCGGCCGATGTCGGGTTTCCAGGAGAGCAGGAGAGGGAGGGACGGAAGAACTCGACTGAATTCATAATTTTACATCTTGACATTAGCTGTACAAAGTCTGAGTTTGATAAAGTGAAGAACAACAATTTGCAGAGGTTTATAACTGGCGCGGCGCCAGGTTTTCATTTTTGGGTGGGCCACGGTAATTTTGGACGGACCTTAATAAGCAGTGACTTAAGTGAAGCAGGCAGGTCGCGCTAGAAAATTTAGTTTAAAAAGACATCATAAATGTTTTCCCCCGTCATTTTTATTTCTAAAATATGAAGTAAAAACTCACAATTTAATTTTTCATTTATTTGTCATTAATATTTAGTCTACACCCGTGCGTTAAGTGGACCAACTTCCAGTAAACGCAAAGCATCCAGTCCACCTCTCCAAATGCGTAAAATGTGCATCAGCCGCTAGTTAGGCGTGATCAGCTGATCAGCCCAGACAAGAGCAGAGCAAATAGAGAAAGAATAGAGGATGATTCTGTCTGGATGTGGATGGAGATTACATTTTACAGCAGCCTGATCATCATTTAAATACGTAAACCATCACCTGGCTTCTAGTCCACGCTATCAGCATTATTTTAATTGGTGTGTGTGTGTGTGTGTGTGTGTGTTTTCCACTTCAAACACTGGTCTAACCAACCAGACCTGCGTGTCCAGTAACATATTGGTGTTACAATTAAACTTGATTAACCCCAGAGCCACGCGCACTGCACTGTACTCCTGACTGTAAATGAGGGGGAAACGATTTAATCGGATCCTTTACTTTTCAACATGGTTTAATGTAAAGTTTCATTCAGTACAAACTTTAGTTACACCAGTCTAACGAGACAGAGCCTGGATTTGTATTCTGAACAGTTTAAACATGTTTGAAACGGAGATGTGCGTGACGCGTCTAAAATTCGCACCTGCTCCGCTATTATGGAAATTAAACTAACAAGATGAATAACATGAACTTATTTTAGGCACAGACAACATCCCCCACACTTTTGAAAAGCTTGCAACGCGCCTGGTCGCTCGTGTACGTCAAAGTTATCTTTCATTAGACGATAATCAATAAAACGATTTATATAAAGTGGATCCAGAAGTTGTAGCCCGTCTCTGCCTTCAATGTTTAGATATTTTTCACCCTGTTGGTGGTTTTACTGAGCAGGCGCCACTTTTGTCACACGTTTCTTTTTAAAACATGTTTAGACTGTTCAGAATACAAATCCAGGCTCTGTCACGTTTGATTGTTGGCATTAAACTTTGTAGGTGGGGAAGGTCAGAAAGCAGCTCAGAAGCGCCTATATGATTACGCACAAGCGTGACGCGTCAACCCGGTCTCACAGTAAGACCGGGTTGGACCTGTTCAGGTTTACGCAGACAGTCTTTACATGTAGAATTGGCATACAGATGTAAAATTAATGCAGTAAAATATAACGCATTTTATTTAAATATCCATTCATTATTTCACAAGCACAGAGAGCCGCATCAGATGGATGGAAGAACCGCATGCGGTTCCAGAGCCGCCGACCCCTGTGCTAGCCTACTTTATTGTCCCCAGCAATTTTTAAACCCCACTCAAGTGTATGGTTATTGTCCCCAGCAATTCTGAAAACAAACTGACGCCCTTGGTTCCTACTTCCTCGACAGAGAATGGCGGGGAGAGGTCGGACACAGAGGCACAGAGTGTCACATCCAGATGTACCCAGGTATGAGGGGATGGGTTTCAAGGGAAATCCTGCTCAAAGATCTGTCTAGTGAATGTATATCCAAATGGCCACCAAGAGCTATGGCAGAAGATGTATGTCATTTTAGATGACCAAAGTAATGTTTCACTGGCCAGATCTGAGTTTTTTGACATGTTTGGTCTCAAGGGAGCAACCATGCCATACACACTGAAAACCTGTGCAGGCATCATAGAAGCATCTGGGAGAAGAGCCCACAGTTTTATGATAGAATCGTTGGATGGGAAAGTTACCATGCCCTTGCCTGCACTTATAGAGTGTAATGATATTCCAAACAACAGGTCAGAGATACCTACACCCGAAGCTGCATGTCACCACCATCATCTTAAAAAAGTGGCAGATAAGATTCCACCGCTTGACCCAGATTCAGACATTCTTCTTCTATTAGGAAGAGACATTATCAGAGCGCATAAGGTTCGAGACCAGTATAATGGTCCACTAAACGCGCCATATGCACAACGCCTAGACCTCAGGTGGGTCATTGTTGGAGAGGTGTGCACAGGAGGTGCACACAACACGACTACAGTGAGTGCCATGAAAACCTGCATCCGGGAAAATGGCAGACCAAGTCACTTTGCCACATGTGAGAATAAGATAAAGGTAAAAGAAAATCCTAATGGCAAAGATGAGGAAAAGAGAACCCCACCCAAGAGAAACATAAAAATGCATCGACAGTGACTAATCTTGGAGAAACAGTCTTCAATGTCACAGAAAATGACAACCAGCTAGCACACTCCATTGAGGATTCAGTCTTCCTACAGATCATGGAAGAGGAATTCATTCAGGATGAGACAAAAAGCTGGGTTGCCCCTCTTCCTTTTCGACACCCACGCAAACTTCTACCAAATAACCAAATAACAGATGTTACGCTCATCACCGTCTGATGTCACTACGGAAGACTTTAGATAAGAAGCCTGAAATGAAAGTGCATTTCACAGACTTCATGCAGAATATGTTGGACAAGGGACATGCTGAACTTGCACCACCACTCCAGGAGGGGGCAGAGTGCTGGTATTTGCCCACGTTTGGTGTTTACCATCCCAAAAAACCAAGCAAGATACGTGTGGTGTTTGATTCCAGCGCTCAAGATGATGGAGTCTCGCTAAATGAGGTGCTGCTGTCTGGACCAGATCTTAACAACAGTCTCGTCGGTGTCCTCCTCAGATTCAGAAAAGAGCCCGTGGCCATAACTGCAGATATTCAGCAGATGTTTTACTGTTTTGTTGTTCGTGAGGATTGCAGGGATTTCCTTAGGTTCCTGTGGTACCAGGATAACGATCTGAGTAAGGATGTGGTGGATTATCGCATGCGTGTTCATGTTTTCGGAAACAGTCCATCACCTGCAGTGGCAATCTTTGGCCTGAGGAAAGC